AATTATTAATTAATATATACTAGAATTAGTAATTAATAATTAATTGTTTAATATAATTTTGTTGATAAGTACTAGAAAATTAAAACAAAAAAGGAAAAACAACTTTCAATCGTTTTCTACTTTTTTCACAAAAATCATTCTCATTATTTTTTGTTTTCGTTTCCATTTTTAAAATTTTTATTAAATAAACGCGTTTTTTACCTCAAAAGACGTGTAAAAATATTTTTGAAAATAATTCTAAACGCACCTTACATTTCCTAACATTTTCCTTTTTCGTTTTGTGGGCGACATCTTCCAGTGAATATATATATATATATAAAATTAACTATATTCCACAGGTGGTCCAATTGCTCTTGTCTTCTAATGAGACTACGAGTGCCAATAATTAAGCAAGTGGTCCAAATGTCTCTTTTTTAAAAATATTATGGTTCATATTTCATATTTGTATGTACTGTAGAATCTTGTTATCATGGAAATCCTATATTAATTTACCCGGCAGGTTAATAAGTTAATTTCTTATACCGACACTACTTTTGCTGTGGACTAACGAGACAGAAAAATGTTTAATTTTCACAACTAATGATGTTTATTTTACTCCATCTAATAATGTTTCATCAGGATTCAATGCATACATATATGCTTGCGTCCAAAGCGTTCTACTTTCTATCAAATTAAATCATGGATATTGTTAACGGTGTTTTTCCGACAACGCGTGATTTACTCTTCAAAGACACTCTCAGTAACACTCACGGTTTAACTAAGGATTGAAGTTGAAAAATAATGCAAATGAGACAGAGATTTAAAGTGGTTCGGCCAGAAGTCTTTGCCTAATCCACTTGTGGATGCACTAATATCTTCTGGGATTACAAACTCTCTTGGAGTAGTGGAATAGTGCGTAACCCTTTTATGGATTTTCTTGGCTCTATTTATAGGCCTTTACATGCCATTATCCCTTCTCCGTTCCCAAGGAGGAAGCAATTTTCTATTCCTCGATTTACGGGCGGGGTAGGTGCATTTTCATGATGGCAACCTCAGGAAATACGGCTAATTCCTCTCATCTGCCGCCTGATTTCCTAACTCCAGCAGCAGCAGTTGGAACAGTACTTCCTTCCCCGAGTTGACAAGACCGTTGATGGATTTGACTGGACGTGCTACCTCGACGTAATGGCCTCCAGAAGTCGAGTCATGGTGCTCGACGCGTCTCGCCACGTATGGTCTCTCGACGTAAAGGGCACTTTAGCTACAGCTACTCCCTCGACGCCAGTGACCGATTCTCAATGGGGAGTCCTCGGCGCCTGTCGTTCGAGAGAGTGGTCAACCCTCGACCATGGTGTAACAATTACCCCCTAGACTGGGATGTCGCACCGTGACTTTCCTGGCTATATGGCATCGAGAACGCCACGTGGGAGAAGCTTTTCTGCAGGTAAGGGCGGCCGCTTGTCGGTGCAGTGCATCATTGCGGTTGGTTTCTCAGGCAGTGGAGCGGTCACGTCGATCACGTCAAAAGTCACGTCTCTACTTTCTTGACGTTGCGTGGCACTAGGAGGATGAATCGCAGCCGTCCGATTAAGTCCTCTCCCGTTGCTTTCTCCCCAACCGTTCGATCGCGCCTTCTCGGATCCACCGTCGGATGGTACCAAATCGGATTCTATGGTCGAGATTTGGAGTCCTTTGGACTCCTTGGGGACCCCTGGGCTCCTTCTCGGGTGTATATATATGTCCTTATATCCGCAGCTCTCTGGTCACCAAGCTTTCAAGACGCCGTTACTCTGCCAGATTTTTGCCAGAATCTTTCGTCTCCGTGCATCCTTTCGCGCATTACTCGTCTTTTGCCTTCAGACTCAGGCCTTCTTCGAATCTGGTAAGCCCTCATTTCCTTCGTTCTTTTTGTGAGTCTGGTTCCAATGTCTGCAAAACCAGGCCCAAACGCGTTATAAAGAGGGGAGATGTACTTACCTGGTGGTGCCGGCCATAAGCTGGAGGCTGAGCCCGCACAGCCTGATCCGTTTGGGCGCAGTTGTTTTGGCCTGAGACCTTCAAGCTCAGCACTGGGTTCCTTAGGCTTATGGCATAAATTTTTCCTCCTTCTTTATGGCTGTAAAGCCCGAGTGTCACATCCTTGGCTCTGGGGCCTCTGGTCTGAACACTCGTCACTCCTCTTCGCACTGCACTTTTGACCTCTCGACCACTAGGATCTAACCAAACCCCTTTTGCTTGTTTTCAGAACATGTTACCAGAACAGGTTAGAGGTCGAGAGGTCTCCACATCCAGGGTAAGGGACGACCCTGAAGAGATGGCCACATCCAGCTCATCCTCGGGTGAAAACGGGGACTCCTTGCTCTGCCAAGTCGAGGCATACACCGAGGCTTCGGCCTCTGCCTCCCAGTCGGACGAGCTAATACTTCTCGATGACAAGGATGTTAGCCTACAGGTCGGTCCTTCCGAAGGCCGCGGCCATGGGGTGGCATCGACCAGCGACCTTACGGGGATGGCCACGGATGTTAATCCGTCAAAGAGTAGACCCCAGGCCGCGATGAAGGCCTTCAATGACGCAGGGATCGACCCCCTGCATTTTTACTTGATTATCCCGACTCCCACTGATCGGGCTCACGCGCCCCCACCCCGCCACATGATCGTATATACGCGCTCCTTAAGCTTTGGGCAGACTCTGCCCTTTCATCCTCTCGTGAAGGCCCTTTGCGGCCTCTACGGGATTTCTTCGGCACAGTTGTCTCCCAACTGCTGGACGACCATTAACTCCATGATAGTTTTATGGAGAAAATATTTGAACCTCGACCTAACCGTTGAGGAGTTTTTGTACTGTTACGCCCTCAAGGCCTCCCCGAACCAAAGGGGGTTTTTCTACTTGGCTGCCCATGCCAAGGCCAAGCCTCTCGTGCCCCCTGTGGTGGTCGAGAAGACCTCCAGTTCGCACGGGTGGAAGCCCCAATTTTTCTTCGTTGGGGGCAATTTCAATTCCCACCCTCTCGACGGCAAGCGTCGGATGGGGGCGCAGACAATATTCAGCCAATACTGTAGGTTATTCATTTCCGCTAACCTAATAACGTTTGTTCTGCCTGTCGAGCCTTTCTAAGATTGTTGCTTCTTACTGTAGGTGACGTCGTCTCTCGACCTCGACTCTCTCCTTCTACACTTGCGCACATCGAGGAGATTCTTGCTCGTCCCGAAGACCGCCGTCGCGCCTCGGTTCTCAATACTGCTGAGAACCGTCAACTGTACGGCTTGTCTGTGCTTCTCGACACCCCGCGCTCCCCAGTTGTTCCT